ACAGGTGATCATGTATTGTGTTAAATTATATTTCTGGAAAATTTAAGGGGTAGTTATATAATAATTTTGGACGATCTCGGACGGTCGGATACTTATGACCGCTATTGTATATAATAAATCTTCTTTTAATATTTTTAATTTTTTTTTTATAATATAAATTTTTTTTTTTTATTAACATTATTTTTTTTTTTAGAAGCAAATCCTTTATTTTGTTTGAAGTATAAGTATAATAAAATATTAAAACAAATCAATGCAATATCATTCTATCTTATATATGATTACCTAATAGAATTCTGCATTACTGATCACATGTATTTCACAAAAATTGATTTTTATTATAATTTCTGATATTATTTTAGACTAGAATAGTTATTGTTTCCTAATTTTTAGTTAAAATAAGTTTTTTCAGATTTTTTAAGTGATTTTTTTTAGTAAACTTCTTTTTTATTTACTAATTTCCTTTTCTTCTTTTTTAGAATTAGTTTTTTTATTTTTATATAAGAATAAATTTTATTATAAAAATTCTTTAAAGAATTCTTTAGGTAAATATTTCTTTTTTACTAACTTTATTTTTCTTTTTTTTTAAAAATTAATATAATATTTATTTAAATATAATAAAACTTCTTTTTAATAAAAATGAATTTTTTTGTTCTTTTGAATAAGAATAAGTTATCTTTCAAGAATTCTTTTAAGATGAAATTATTTTTTTTTTACTAACTTATTTTTTTTTTAGAAATAAATCTTTATATAAATGTATAAATAATATTTTTGTTTTACTTCAAATATCATATTTAATAAAATATTAAATAATTTTATAAAAATTTGTATTATTAATAATATAATGAATATTAAATTATTAAAAAAATTATTTATTAAACATATTTTTAGTTTTTAATTATATTTATAATTAATATTTAATAATTAAGATTTAAATACTTTTTATTTTTTAAATAAAAAAATTAAAAATAAATTTGTTAAATATTACTAAAAAATAAAAATAAATTATAAAAATAAAATATTATAAAAATAAATATTAAATTAGTCTAAAAAAATAATATCAAAAATAATAATAAACTAAAATATTAATTTATATTATTATAATAATCAGTAATTTATTAATTAATAAATTTTTTTTAAAATATTTTCTTTATAAAAAAATCAAAAATTTTAGATTTTTATTTATAAAATATCAAATCTAGAAAATATGTAATTATGTATCCTATAATTAATAATATAATTTACAGTCTAGATTATTTTAAATAAATTAAATAATAAAACTAATATAACAAATATAAAAAGATTAATTAAATATAAAAATAACTAATTATATAAATTTATTAATATTTTTGTTTTAATAAATTTATTTGTGTTTAATTATAGGAAAGTATGGATAATAATAAAAATATCTTAACTATAATCATTGTTTGTCATTAAATACAAATTAATTATATGGATTTTCAATAAAAATGAAGATAAATGTATAAAATTGGATTATAGAATTTTATTTATGTTAAGTTAAAATGAATAAATTTAAAATAAACATTTAGGCAACTTGCTATCAAACTACTCATAACAATAATCAGTATATTATAAACAAATAATATTAATCTAAAAGTATTTGTAATATTTTCACATTTTGTACATACTGCATGAAACATCAGAATATATCTTTATTAACTTTGTAATTTAATTTATTACGTCAGATTATATTTTACAATAAATAAAAAAAAATATAAACCACTCGAAAACTCCAAGCTTTATGTATTTACGATCATTTCGTCCTGAACGTCCTGGTTCCTAGTATGGCATCTTGAGTTTCATATTTTTGAATCAAATCAAAAAAAAAATTTCTTCCCAATGCTTTCCTGCTAATCTATGTGAATTGGTGCCAATGATTTTATAAATTGCCCAGCTCTTTCACAATTTGATAGAAAGGATATATTTCTGCATTGCTTATTGATATTTTTGCCATAATTTTACTAAAATAAAAGACATCAGAAGCCGAAGTAAATAATCCTCACTTCCAGTCAGCATATATATTTTATTATCCGATTACATCTAAAACTGAATTATGTGATGCACCTTTCCATAAAATGTTGTTAAAATATTTGAAAGCACACACTCAAAATTTTCATATTGGAATTGCACGATCATAATTTCTTTGGTTTCATGACTTCAAAAGATCCTTCATAAGTTCAGGAGATGGTTCCAACTTCAATAAAATTATACTCTTTAGAAATCCTCCGCCCCAAATTTCTTTTGTATTTGCGAGTATATATACATTCAAAATGACTCACGAATTCATCAGCATTAAAATTTCCATTCGTCCATCCTTTTATCTTAATTCCGTTAGGTTGGTAACGAGACTCTCGTTTATAAGGTTCTTTTCATGTTTCACAATCAACACATTCTCCACTTTTATTTGAATGTCTGGAACCTCTTTGCGCGTTAATAATCGACGGAAAGAAAATTTATTATCCGCATCCAATCGTTCTTATTCGGGATGCTCACGTTCAGACCTAAGCCAAAATATAAGTACCTCGCGCCCGGAACATAAATTTTGGCTGTTACAGCCAGAAAAAAATCTACCACCTCACCATTAGCGCAAAAAAAAATATTTTGTGTTACTGAAAGTTATCTATATAAAAACTTAAATGATATTATTAATAAGGATTTTTTCTTAAAAATAAAAAAAATTGCGGAGAGAACCGCCCGAAGCCATTAACACGCGAAAGTCACTATCGTCTGAATTTCATGAGCATTAAAAGCCACAACTATAATAATCACCTGTATATCTTCCTCTGGTTTTCAAACTATTTCCTTACCCTCTTGGATAATGTTTAATTATATTACCGAGAAATTGTCTCCAAAGGTCTTCTTATTAAGTTCCTAGGCCAAAATATAATAACATTAATGTTATTTTTTTGTAATAGTTTTACGGACCAAAGGTTGCGGGGCAAAACCTTAATCATTTTGGCAAAAGTTGAAAATAGTTTAGACGGATTCGACGGGATTCTACGGTCTGTTTCGACGGTTCGACGGTTCGAAAATTTTTTGGTCAAATTAACTAAATTTGTCAAAATTTAACGCGTTTAAACAGTTTGATTTGATATTAATTTTGACCTAGACCAGTGATTTGAATAAATTCAGGATATGTATTAAAATGTACCTGAACGGAATACTTTTTTGAGGGGTAATTGAAAATCTCATTTGCATATCAAAGTTTGATGTGTTTTGCCACTCGTCGAAACTTTCGCGGCTTTGTCTTTAAAAAGAAATTTGGCAAAAAAGCCAAAACTAGTTTTAATTTTGACACCTGTCGAGGGTTTTCCTTATGTCCTTTTGATTAAAAGCATTTTGTAGGTTAGAATAGTATTTTCTAATATTTGCCGCGCCGATAAAGCTTCCTCCTTCTACACGGTAATTGTGAAACACTCACCAACCAACCACAAACGTTACTTTGGTTTTCTTGGAGTTTTAACGCCATGTATTTTTTTTCTTCCGTCGGATATGAAGATTTGACAATCAAATGGCTTCTTTCGTTACGCCCTCGAACAGCCATTCATTTTAAGAACTCGACGAAAAGTATAAACCACATTTTAAAAGTAATAGACTTTGCGAAATACATTATACAACGTCACTTCATTTTTAAAGACTTGAAATAAGCAAGTACAGACTTGTTAAGATATAATCTAAAATGATACATTAAACAGTTTATTCAAAATAGAACGTGTAATTGTAAAACCTTTTGAATTTTTTTTTTTTATTTTTTACATAAATTTAGTCAAATGAATAAAATTTACATTGCAGATCTTAATAAAAATTAAAATTAAAAGATTTTTGACATTGTTCAATAAAGGAAAATTTCTTGTCGATCTTCAAAGAAAGAAATTGATCTAGAGAGTAAAAAATTTGAGGAACCAACGCGCACCCCGGGCCGAACGTCATGATACTCATCCTAACGCGGTGATGGGCATTAATCATCACCAAGGTTGCATGTCGCTTCTTTCAGACAGGGGAGTTGGCCGCGGTACCTGGCCCAAGGTACCAACCCCTGCTTACTTGCTCTTCTCCACCCGTTTTACGCTAGATATTTATCATTTCTCAATCAGTTCATAGGGTACCCTCATTATTTCAACCGTTTGCCATAAGCGTCCTCATAACAACGGGAAGTTATCATAATACATGAAGCTAACCTTATATAACCCTATAATTTCAACTTCCAAAAAATTGTGGGATTGTGATCGACATAATTAGCCAATAATAATTTAAAATTATTTCACGTGATCATGAACAGTGACCTCATTTTACATTTAATCATTTAAGTAAACGTGACACTTACTTCATAATATAAAATTATACCCACGACTTATTTATTTTCGTCCCTCATATTTCAAAGTTCTTTGCCATACTAAGTACATTTTTAATTTTGTTGTCATGACATTATAAACGGTATGAAGTTAGCAAAATTCCAAGAAATGAACTTTGCTACATGTGAGTGTGAACTATTGAATGTTGTTGCTTACACTGGAAATTAATGGCTCATGTTCTTGATAAAATACATAGACTGTTATTTGTTTGTTTGATCAAGCATTCTACCGTGTCTTAAGATATTTACGAGCTAATTTGTATGGACCTAATCATCCTATGGAAAAATTGGAAGCCGAACAATTTACTCAACTGCAATGGTTTAACGGCAAAGTCAAAATGTTGTTACGAATTACAACCACTCATATTACGTTCGACCTCTTGTAAGTAAAGTTTAATTTGATTATACTAGGAGAGGTTCTAATTTCAATATTACTAGGTTTTGGGCGAAGTTGGTGTCAAGTCTAAAACAAGATGAAACATATTTCTCGGCAAGAAGTTCGTCAAGATAAACGTGCACCTTTTATCTAAACATAACTCCAAAGAGCAGTGAGAGTTATCAGGTGTATGTAATCAACTGGTTCCTTTATATACTTGACACTCGACATCTACAGTGCGTAACTGAGCATTTACATAAATGTTGGCATCAAAAAAGTTCCAATCATATATTATGAAATTCAAAGAAATACAAATATCATTGTGTAGAATTTATCGAAAGCAAATTTGTAGATCCTGAAAGGTTCGTTGAAAATTTAACATTGTGAATGTTCAGAATTATTAATATCCTTCAACTTCTTTTGAAGTCTTATAGCGGTGTTATTTACAGGTAATTTGTGAATTTAAACATAATCTTATTAATTGATCAGATAGTTATTATTTCAACATTTCTTAGATATTAATTATGGACTCTCAACTAGAATGGATGATAGCTTGCACAAATACTTTATTGAGCGAAACTAAAACATTTAAATCGAAGTGCCGAGTGGTATGTATGTATGATTTAATTTATTTAATTCTTTTCAATTATATATTTATATTTACAGTATATACAGAAGTCTTTGGACGAAATTATCTTAGAAATTTTTTAATACTGCGACGAGATAAAGACTAACTAACAGATCGTACAGGCTAGAAAATATAACGGCGAACCAGTATATCAAGTTCCACGATATATTATAACCTGGCTAGTTAAAGTGCCGTCCACAAAAAACGTTCTGTTCGTCACTACGCTTACCTCAAAAGCTCTTGGTATACATTCGAAAATCTACTGTAGTTTCTTTTAGAAAACTGGATCCATATTATCGCTAAAGTCCTTATTATTGTACGATACTGCGTCATTAAGCTGGACTATGACAAGAAGCATCCATTGCGACCCAATGTTTACAAGTTTCACAAACAAAGGCGTTTATAATTGGGCCAGAAATATATGAATGACTGGAATCATATCATTATTTTCAAATAAAATATCCTTTTGGTTATTTAGTAACGTGTAAAATATTATAAAGCCACGACCGGTTCGCCGACCGAACAAGAATCAATGCATGGATGTATTTTGCAATCGGAAAAATCAGTATTTAATTCTTCCGTGAAAACATGACTACGTTGAAATCATGAAGGAGCAGCGTAACAACTGGCGCCTCCAGCAAGACAATCTAAGCATACGATCCGTGAAATTAAAAATTTTCTGAAAGAAAAAGTCAACCATTATGGACTGGTCTACTAACAGTCCCGACTTGTTTTCATAGAAAATTTATGGGCTATTGTTAAGAGGTTCGTAGAGTAACGGCAGCAACAAATATCTCAAAAATTTAGTCGTGTCAATGAAGTATTATAGTGGGAAATAGGCGAGCATATTATTTTTTTCATTATTAGCACAAGAAATCTTATACCATTTTGCTTAGCCTTATATGTAGAAAGTATCTCTTTTATTTCTAATCGCGATCGTACATTGGCCAATCTTTTGTTTTCTCAGTCATCCATCCTGGAAATATTATATAACGGACCTCCGTTCCACATTTATTCCAAAACATTTATAATTAGGTATGTATCAGATTTTATTAAAAAAAAGAGAACATTTATATGATTTGAAATCAAAAGTTCAAAATATTTAAAATCGTTTATAGAATTATTTTTTTTAGAAGAATTTTACAAAAAATGCCTCATCAAGCGTCGGTATTCTTGAACGTCGTGATTCTGGTTTCTGAATATGTCATATCATGATTATGAACTGTCGGGTTTACATGGTTGTCGAAATCATGGACTGTCGGGTTTTTGATGCCGGAATTCTAGAATGTCGGGATTTTTGTTATCGAGATTTCGTGATAAACCATAGCTAGAATAATTTTAGAAAATTGTACTTTTTTTTCACTTGCTATTTCCATATTTCAAAAAAGGTAGGTAACAATTCTAATCAGCTTCAATTATTTTAATTATTTTAAATCACTATAATTAAATTTAGTTTCACGTAGATTCATTTCCAAGTGTTGATGGTTGTATCAAAGAATCATTTTTAAAGATTCAATGAATTGGAACTCGCTATATTATGGAATCAGACATTACCAACTCCACCTTCATTACTTCAACCTTTTCCACATCCTTCTCCGCTTACTTCACCTGCTACGACAACATCACCACCACAAATATCACCATACTTAATCCAAAAAGCATGATCTTATTAGTAATGTCGCAGAAAATTTGCAAATATATTTTTTGATTAATTACAATCTGAATAATTTTGACAAGATCTTATAAATACATAACTTACCTACTCGAATTGAAATAGAAATCAAATTTTCATCGATGTTGTCTTTAATTTCATTTTTTAAGCAATTATGTAGTTTATTGGTAGAAAAAATATATGGGGAGCGTTGCCAGTAAAATTAAATCACATTACAGATCATAAGATTTACTATATCTCATGACTTGAACTGGTAACGTTCCCATATATTAAATGATTTTATAATTTTACATAATAAATTCTGATTTTCTAATATTGAACTAATCATTTAACAGTATCTTTAACTATATTAATATTATTTTAATTTGCTATTAAAAATGGTAAAACATATTCTTTTGATTTCTTTTTATTTTATGCCATATTACTATTTATACTTCTTTGACTTCTTTAAATTTTTTAAAATAAATTTTAATGATATATAATTTTAAAATATTATTATCTTTCAATAGTAAATAAAATCATATTACTTATATGATAGAAATGTTAAATTTTTAAAAAAAAATAGTTATACTTAAAATAAAAATTATTTAGTTATTGATTTTAATAATTAAAAAAATGTTTAAAATGAATATTATTTAGAATTCTAATATGATTATTAAATAAAATTTATATTTATATATATATTTTTATTTACAGTATTTTATTTACCTTTTTTTTTATATTTTTTCAAAAAATAGTAATATAATAAATAAATCTAAAAAAATTAATTCTATTATTATTATTAACATAATATCTAATAATCACATTTTAAAAAAATTTATGGTAAATTTATTTAATCATCTAAAAATAATTTTTTTTAAATAAATATTATTTTATTATAAATAAATCTGTTTTTATAATAATTATTTTATTATATAATAAATGTTGCTTAAAAAATTTTTTATAAATGAATAAATATTTACAATATAAAAAAAATTTTATATTAAAAAAAATAATAATTAGTTAAATAGTTAATTGAAGATTTTTAATTAATTAATATTACAATAAATTTTTAATTACTTATTAATTATAAGCATTCAATAATAAATAGTAATAAATAAAAGATTTGATTTAAGAAAAGTATTAACAAATAAATTTTTTTTTTTAATTAAATAATAAATAAGTCATATAAGTATTTTATATTACATAAATATTTAAAAAATAAAACTAATTTATTTATTTATTATTCTTATTAAAACTTTTTTATTAGCTAAAAATTATAATTATATTTAATTAAATATATAGAATTATTTTTAAAATAAAATAAAATATTATATCTTAAAAAATAATATTTAAGTAATTAAATCATTATTTTTATATAATAATTAACATTTAACTAACTGATTTAACTGATTAATTGATTATTTAAAAATTAAAATTTAGTAGTTTTATTAAAATAAAAATAAATAATTTAATTTTAACTAATTAAATAATATAATTTTATATATTTATATTTTTATAATTTATTTTTTTTTTAAATTTATTTATAATATGCATTTTTTTTAAGATTTTATAGTAAAAAGGAAAAAACTAATAAAAAAAATTTTTTTTACTTTATAATCTAAAATATTATTTTTTTAGTAAAATAAATTCAGATTTAATATTAACTTAAAAAAAAAATTGTTTGGCAAATTCCTTTTTTTTACTGTAAAGCAGAGTTGGGAAATTAGTACAGTTAGTATAGCTTAGTACAGTTCAGTACAGTTAGTACACATAATAATTAATATAAAATTTAGTACAGTACAGTACAAGTACAAGGTCAAAATTTGTCTAGTACATACAAATTTTCCAATCCTGCTGTAAAGTATTCATATTATTACTATTTATTTTTTAAAAAATTAAGAAAATTAAAATTATAATTATAGTAAATTAATATAAAATATTTAAATATTTTAATTTATTAATTATATATAATTAATTAATTATTAAGACAAATTAATAAATTCAATTAATTAACTATTAATCTAAAACTTTTAAATAATATTAATTATAATAATAATTAATTATAATTAAATATTATTTCATAAAATTAAATTTGATTAAATTTTATCTTAATCTGATTTAATCTGAATTTAATGAATTTATTTAAATTTAAATCTATTTTAGAACTACTAGATCAAATCTTAAATTTAAATCTAATAGATTAGATAAATTTAATCTGATCTATTTAAATCTGATTTAAAAGAATTTGAAAAATTTTTATCATTAAAAAGAAATAAATTTTTAATCAATCTAATTGAATAATAATAAATCATTTTTTAAATAATAAATTATTCTATTTGAATAATGATAAATTATTCTAATTAAATAATAATAAATTATTCTTCTTTAATGATAATGAATTGTTCAATTAGAATAATAATAAATCATTCATCTTGAATAATAGTAAATTATTCTAATTAAATAATAATAATTTATTCTAATTAAATGGTAATGAATCATTCAAAAAATATGATAATAAATTATTCTAATTAAATAATAATAAATCATTTTAATTAATGATAATATATCATTTAAGAAAAATTAATAATATATTATTTTAATTAAATGGTAATATTTATTCAAGAATAGAAAAAAAAAACTCTTTTTATCAATCACTTTTCGAAAATAAAGTCTAAGAAAATAAAAACATTCACCTTCAAAGTCCTATTATATTTTTGACTTTATTAGTTAGTCTTATAGTTTTATAACAGCTCAAATATACTTTCACAACCAGGGAAGAGTTTATTTTAGAAGTTACTTTTATTCACTATAGTTAGAAAAAACCAAAACAAATAAGTGTTAATGAAAAATAAGCATCATTTCAACCCAATAGAACATTAACAAACTCTCAAGACACTAGTTGCTTTAACCTCTGGCTCTGGAGAACAGCTAAACCCATCCTCAGCTTCAAATACTGTTCTTATCAAAAACTTTTTCAAACCACTGACTCCTACTCCCCCCAACGTCTTGAATAAGGATGAATACGTTCTCATAAAAGATGACCCCAATATGAAAATAGATCAAAATAAAGATTTCACAGTTATTACTTATTTAACCCCATTTGTTTGCGCAGCAACCATTCCCAAAAGTCTCAAGGACTTCTCCACTGCTATTATTTTGAAGATAATTAATGCCCACTTCGCTCTTAATGATGTGTTCAGGGAGATTAACGTCAGCTATGTTAACCTTGTTCGGTCAATCGTGATCTATTTCAATGATCAGCAAACTATAGAATCAGCCCTTAATGCGAAATTTCCCGATTTGGATATCAACCAGCTGGTTTAGTATGTGACTTACAAAGAAAATATGCAGTTCTCTCAACGCATACTTTGTATCACTGATATTCACTTTAACCTAAAAAAGAACAGCTCACCAACATATTTGCTAAATACGGTAAGATAGTTACAGTATAAATGTTCACCAGAGATCTTTGGCAACAAGCTTACATCACTTATGAAGATCCTAAGAGTGTCAATCTCTTCTATACTTAATGATCACATTTTATCTACAATAATTGCGTCTGAGTATACCCAGCCTGCTTCACCCCAGAATAAGTTAAATAACATAATTATTTTAAAATGAGACTCACCAATTTGCCCTTCAACACCTCTGCTAGGAATCTGTAAGACATCACCTTAACTACTAAAGCTAAAGCCCTCTACATCTCTCATTCAAACAATTATAAACCTTGACCCTTCACAGAGGTAGACTTTAACAATGCTGTTAAACAATCTTTTACGTTTAATAATAATGAACTCCAATAGTGCTCAGCTGACGTGAGATATTATCATAAATGTGATTCTCCAGAACACATTGTCATGAAATGCCTCCAAATCGTTCCATCAGTAAATGATGATCCTGTTGATCAACCTAAAACACCAATTTACAAACTTCCCTTTATTCAAAAACTATATAATCACTTCAATCCAGCAGGATCTAGATCCTTGATCACGAAATACAATGACCGCCAATCTAACCGCAACAAGTCACCCCTTTTCAAAGAAGGAAACAAGCCTGCAACAAATAAAAGCAAAGCCAAAAACAAAGGCTTCACAGGTTCTTCAATTGATGACTCAGTTCATAATCCCAATAATAATAATATTATAACCAATGATAAGCTAGACAGAATCCTCAGCATGTTCGCAGGCATGCAAAAGGCTATGTCTGATCTTGAAACTTGCATTGCTAAACTAGAAAAGGCTCAATCAACTATCTATACCTCACCTTCTTCTTCACTGTCAAGTGCCCCAAATAATGAGCCTATTGCACAGCAATCTGTGTCTACTTCTACCCCCTAAAAAAGAGTTCATATTGCCAATTCCTCTTCAGATGAAGACCTTAATAAGTCACTTATTCCCATCGACCTTAAAACACAAGCAATTGTTAAAGAACAAGCCTCTGTTATCGCTGAATAACAGAAGCAATTATAGATTGTTAATGCCCAAATGCTCAAAATCATGACTCAGGTGTAAAAACCATCCAGTTTCTCCCACAATAATTTCACTCATTACCTAACCCACAACCATGATTAATAATAATACGAATATTAATAAAAATAATATTTACAACAATAAACAAATAGAACATTCCACCAATAATCAAATTAATTCAAAAGGCACACCTACTATATTTTTTGCTACCCATAATGTAAATTCACTTCAATGTTCAATTAAAAACTAATTTATTAACGATATATTCACAGATCTTAATACAGATTTCATAGGTCTTACTGAAACTCGACATAAGTCTAACCAATCTTTTTGTTATATACACGACCCTGATTATACTTCTTTTTGGAACACCTACTTTAACTCACACACTGGAGTTAGCATTCTTATTAAAAAATTCTGGGCTATTTATATCTAAAAAGCCTATCTGGATAATGATCGATTTATCTACATAGACTTGTATTTATCTGAATATACCAAATTTCACATCTTCTGTGTCTATTTACATACTTCAACTGAATCT